ATCCTATACGCATTCCTCGTCTCCTCCATTCATGCTACATGCCCTGCCCACCTCATCCTCCTTGACTTGATCATTCTAATTATACTCGGAGAAGAATACAAGTTATGAAGCTCCTCGTTATGCAGTTTTCTCCAACCTCCTGTCACTTCATCTCTCTTTGGTCCAAATATTCTCCTCAACAGAGCTAAATGTTTTTCTTCCAGTGGCAACTATTATAGGATCCGTGATGAGACTAGTTTCGCTATGAACACTTTTTAACTTTACCAAAGTTGTGAATACGAATGCTTCCTAATATTTTAATGTAGCAGTGGAACTTCTGAACGCAGATTATAGTCAGATGTATGAAATGGTAATGATGGATGACCGGAAACTGCTGGCAGCTGTGTTTTTTCATCTGCCATATAACGCCGTGTAGTCCGTTAAAAGTCAACCAACGATTCGCAGGAAAATATCACCTTCATATTTAGGGTTGAAGAGCAAGCCAAACAAGAAAGTAGCATGAGACAGAACAAGCGAAGCACTTGACTGGCTTACTCTTAAACCCTCAGGATGGAGGGGACGCGTTCCTCCGAAACGTCGGTTCACTTTCAAAGGACTACACGGCGTTATATCCTAGAAGACAGTGCACTTCACAACTGCCGTTACATCTACCTACATATCTATCTCTGGCTCTACAGCCCTTGTGGACCTTAGCCGTTTTTTCAATTTCTTAAGCCTTGGATGGGGCATCAGACAAACAAGGCTGCTACCTACATGAAGAAAGCGGCCTCCGTAGTCTAGAGGTAACGTTCCCACCTCATGATTCTTAGTACGCGGGTTCGTGGAATTTTTAAGGGCGGAAAAATTCATGGAACAAGTCCTCCGGGAGGGACTTTAAGCCGTGGGCCCGTGTCATAGCTTTACGGCATGTAAAAGAACCTCATATCTCCTAAGGAGATCACTGAGTCAAATTCAAGGACATTTCCCGCCCAACAGTAGTCTCTAATGCCTCTGATAGACGGGGGAAGCATTATAGATACCGCCAAGCCAGTAGAGGCCGAACTCGCTGGCTTGGTCGGGACTGATGGTAAGCACCAGTATCGGTAGGGTATAGAGACTGGTAGAATATCATAGAGGGAAGCACAATGGATCAAACTGGTCGCGGTGCATGAGGAAACCCACCCTCTCTAAATAACTAACTAACTAACTACACGAAGAACAACACAGAATAAACGCACCCAAACATATATAACTTGAGTGGGATTCGAACCCACACTACACAGCGTCCGAGAGGGTGAAGACGGTTCACGCGTTAGACGGCGTGGCCTCGGAGTTCGACAACCATCGTTCTATAAATCTCAAATCCTACAGGTAGCACAGAGATCCAAAAATGATATACAGCTGATCAACAAACTTGGTAATTTCACGGCTAGGATAATGGTTATTTGTAGTCACGAAAGATAGTCTGTTCCGAAGTTAAGCGTAAGGAATTAAGTTAAAGCAACCCAAGTGATTATATACACGAGCTGTACCGTATTTCGTTACGGGCTGTTGGTCGGCAGAAGTTTAATCTAGTAGAGTGGGCTCCGGAAATATACCATCGAGAGAGGGCGCAGTAGCTAACGTAAATATCTGGGAAAACCAGACTCTCCTGTGGCGGCGTACAAAGTGAAAACATTTTATAAAGCACAGAAGTATACTAGCACCATATTGGAAATTCTGCAAGTAGCCTATAGAGCCCTGGCATCTCCTCTGGGCGCCATCACATATCCGGAACACGAATTTCATATCCAATTTTGTCCACGTGCAGTAAGTTAAGAGTTTGGTTGAATCTGAGGCATTTGCTTCTTGGGATTACAGGTACTGGGCCCTTAGAAAGCCCAAGGCGTGAGCAGAGGTGATTCATCTTTTTGACTGGTTATGTCATACGCAGGGAGGGAACGCCCTCCAAAACAAAAAGTGCTACTGGGACCACCCCGCTCGGTTGCACATCCCTGGTCAACTTCGAACACATTTTTCCACATTATTTCATAATTACTTCATGTGTCTTAGAGTTATCCAAAGCGGTCACTGCGGAGCATTAAAATACGCATAAAATATTTTGTGAACCATTTATAGCCCAGCTGTTGCTATACTGCTAACATATTTCACAGATCCTCGTAAGGTAGAGGCGTAGATCATTGCGTGATCATTATGAAGTTATACGATTTTATTTTAAATTAACTTACTTAACCTGTTCCTCTTATGCCTTACGGTGTCGAGGTTGTTGTTTTCATTTTTATCGTTTTACAGATGGTAGGACTCCTTGAGCAAGTAATCAGCTCGTCGCAAGGCCTCTACCTAAACACAGAATAAACACACACACATAGCAAACATCCATGCCTTGTGGTGTATAAGAATAATATATAAGAATTCAGTTCGTACCTCACAGGAAACAGATCCGAACCCACGGTCCCGGCTTCCGAGCGAGCGAAGACAGTGCACGCCTTAGACCGCTCGGCTACTGTGACCGGCAGTGTATAAGAATAATATATAAGAATTCAGTTCGTACCTCACAGGAAACAGATCCGAACCCACGATCCCGGCTTCCGAGCGAGCGAAGACAGTTCATGCCTTAGACCGCTCGGCTACCGTGACCGACTTTTAAATTAACATGAACACCAAAATACTATTACCGGAGATCTCAATGCACAAATAGGACTTTTCTTCAGTAAGTTTCCCTGCTAAAAGTAAACTGTACCCTTAGAAATATTTTAGACAGACAATACAGGGTGTCCCAGGAGGAAAGGTCAAAATTCTAGGAGGTCGCAGTATAGGTCATTGTAAACAAGAGTATGCATGTACATATGTATTATTCCGAACGGTTTCCGAGACAGAGATATTTCGCCGTACAATTCCAAAGTTGTTGATAAGATATTACGTAAGTAAGTAAATAGTAAAGCTATCCCTGTACCAGGCCATGGACCCCAATAGGGTTGTGAGACGTTGAGGGTCCAACATTATCTAGACAATCGGCTCAAAGATGGCGGTAAGGTTGTCAGCCTTACGCGCCAGCCGCGCTTTACTCCCCAGGAAAATTATTTAATTAAGTCCTGGTACTCATTTCTGTTAGAGGCTGAGTTGACCCCAGGGCCAAAGTGCGGCTGGAAGGATTAGATCAATTGAAAAAATCCATTGACTTCATCAGGACTTGAACCCGCGACCTTCCTGCTTGTAGCATAGTGCCTCAACCAATTAGGCTACCGGGTGCCCACAAGATATTACGTACTGTTTCTAATATCCGTATTTATTGTTGAAGTGACAAAGTTGGTATAATTTACCTAATTTAATACATTTTCGAAAATTCTACCGTCAATGGAAAAAATGTAGGCGTTTGCGGAATGTTAACATTTGCGGCGGACACCATAAATCCCAATTTTACAAAATACCTCGGAATAGCTCAGGCGGTATAGCGACTGGCTATGGGGTGGAAGACCTATGGGTCGGAGTTCGAGTCCCGGTGGGGGGCAAGAATTTTCTCTTTTCCAAGTCGTCCAGATCGGCTGTGTGGTCAACCATACCTCCTACCCAATGTGTACCGAGGATCCTTTCCTTGGAGGTAAGCTGACCACTCGCCTCCAGCTAATGCCGAGGTCAAGAAAACGTGGATCTATACATCCACTCCCCCATACGCCTTCATGGCGTAGTGCTTAATTGGTTAAGCATAGGCACAACTTTACCTTCCTCTTGCCAATTGCGACGCTTCTCAGAAGTGTAACACTCGTGGGTTGTCGATGGATTGCCGTACAATAAAACTTGTCTAAAACGGAACTCGGTTAAACGGAATCAAGCATCTACAGGAGGGAATACAGAACCAGAATTGATTTTTAAATCGCGTCCAATATTAAACAGTGGTAAAAGTAGTCCCTCGCCGGTCACGGTAGCCGACCGGTCTAAGGCACGTACTGTCTTCGCTCGCTTGGAAGTCGGGATCGTGGGTTCGAATCCTACTCAGGGCATGGATGTTTAGCTAGTGTGTGTGCGTTTTTCTGTGTTTGTGTACAGGTAGAGGCCTTGCGACGAGCTGATCACCCGCCCAAGGAGCCCTACCGAATGTGTAAGATCTAGAAAAACAGACGTGAACGGAGAAGTTCATGGAGGTATGCCTAGGCACACTGGGGCTGTAGTGCCAAGGGAACAAAAAAGTAGTCCTGGTGCTCAATTAATTAAGCACAATGCCATGAAGACATGGTTCTTAGGTTGGCCGCGCCATAGCTGAAGCTGTTAGTCGCTGGCTTCCCATTGCGGCGGCCCGGGTACGATCCCGGGTCTGGTCAAGTGGGATTTGTGCAAAGTGGCGCTGGGGCAGTTTTTCTCCGAGTACTTCGGTTTCCCCTGCCAATCTCCATTCCACCAATTGCTCCACAGTCACCCTTACCTATCATCTGGGGCTGGTACAATAGGCCAGAAGTGGCCGCAGTACAAGGGACTTAGTCCCACCCCACTAGCAATAACAAAAATAATACACAGGGGGGACTGGAGCTATAGCTCCATCACTCTTGACGTCGAAACTAGATGGATGTGTGTGATCAGCTTCAGACCCCGGCCGCTTTAACCCCGAGGAAATCTCCCTTGGTATTCACGGGATACGAGGCTGAGCGGACCTCAGAGCCGGTCTGGACTCTGTGGAGAAGAGAAAATTCTTGGCCCTACCGGGAATAGAACACGGACTATACCGACCGAGCTACCATCGCTTATCGGCTAAGTTAGTGCCAACTTCTGAGGATAGGGAGTGCCGCGTGGTCAGTGCAATGGATTTCCCCCGCCCACTACTCTCGGTTTTCTAGACCGGAGCCGCTATTTCCTTGAAATAGCTCCTCAATTTTCCTCACGAGGCGGAATGGACCCCGTTCTAGACCCACTACTTCTCAGAATATTTGGTAGCGCCGGGAATCGAACCCGGAACCTCTGTATCTATAGCCAGGAACTCTGACCACTAGACCACATAGACAGTCGCAAACTATATGTGTATCTCCACTTACGTGTTAGAATCATCATATGCATCATTGTAGTCATCGTAACTGTTGTAGTCATCGATGTTGGGGGCTGCATCCCCATTGGTGGGCACATGTCCATGACCCCAGACTGAAACAGACAATGGAACATTCTTAATAATAATAATAACAATATTAATCTGTGGTCGCTATAGTCTCTCTTTTACAGTTCCTTAATCATATGGACCGTCGGTAGGACTCCTTGGACAGGGTATCAACCCGTCGCAAGGTCGCCACCCACAAAGGACAACACAAACGCAGACAAATATAACTACTTTTGTGGTTTCCTTTCATCCCTTAATATCGTGTTATTATTCTTTAAGGGCTTAAAGTAGTAACTGGAAAGGAATTGAAAATATGAATATTTTCTGTGGAGTAGGAGAGCCGGGGTAGGGTAGTCGGTATAGCGACTAGCTATGTGCTGGGGGACGAGGGGTCGGAGTTCAAGTCCCGGTAAGGTAATGAATTTTTCCTCTTTTCCACGTCGTCCGGACAGGCTCTGGTGTACACCCAACCTCCTATCCAATGTGTACATGGGGCTTTCTCGCGGGGGGTAAAGCAACCGGGGCGTGAAGCTGACCACTCATCTCCATTTAGTGCAGAGGTCTAGAAAGCGTGGATCTACACGTCAATTATCCCACATGGTTTCAAGGCGCAGTGCTTAATTAATTAAACACAGGGATAGCTTTATCTTATCTTTACCTTTTTCTGGATCGCCTCTGTGGTCTAGTGGTCAGAGTTCCTAGCTACAGATCCAGAGGTCCCGAGTTCGATTCCCGGCGCTACCAAATATTCTGAGAAGCAGTGGTTCTGGAACGGGGTCCACTCAGCTTCGTGAGGATAATTGAGGAACTATTTTAATGAAACAGCGACTCCGGTCTAGAAAACCGAGTTTAACGGCCGTTGGGATCCGTTGCGCTGACCACGTGACACCCTGTATCCACAAATGTTAGCATTAATTTCGCCGACAAGCGGTGGTAGCTCGGTCGGTATAGTTCGCTTGCGGACTAAATCCACGGAGTTTTTGTTTTGTTTTTACTGACAGCTATACCGTTCTAGCTGCTGACAAGATCGGTAAAGAAACCGTAAACAATTAAAGTAGGTGGATGATTGACAGAAAAATGCTTTTTTTTTTATTCATTACAACCCTGTAACGTTTTGTCGGTTTACCAAACATGTACAATGAATCGAAGTTTAGCAAAGATATTCAAGTGTTGGTTTCATCTTGTAAGGTGAGAAAGACAGTACAAACGGAGGAAATATACGTGTACACTGCCCATCTCTCCCTCAGGTTTTATAAGATGGAAAATTCCCCCCCCCCCCAACACATACACGACAGATGTTAGGGAATCTGGAGACCGAATTACTTGGTCCACTTTTACTTTCAGTTGATTCAGTCGTTAATTGGAAAACAGAAAATACGGTCCATTCCTTCTCACATCAATTCCCGTTCTTAAGTTCTGCAGGAACTCAGTATAACTCTGAGTCCACGTAGAAACCAACGCAATAAAATGGTTGGAAGATAATGAATGTTTCTAAACAGTGTGTCTCCGTTCTTTGAAACTCCAGAGGCTACAAAATAACTACGTAACATTGTGGAGTCCTTGCTTATTCAGTTAGTCAAAAATTACTTGCTCTTATTGACCCAAATTGGGCCCATTTTAATTTTGTCTTATCATCACGTCCCACGTGCTGAAAGTGATACTTCCCACTAAGGTTTTACTATCAAAATATTGAGCACGCGGAAGCGTAGATGCTTGAGAGGCTAAGTTACACGCCGGAAGGTAGCAATTTTTTTTTTAATTCGCATAGTGGGGGGGGGGGTGGACTCCAACTGGATCCACTCGGCACGGTGGCCACTGAATGGCCTATTGTAGCCTGCCCAGGGTGATTATGATGATGGAGAATTTGGTGGAATGAAGAATGGCACGGGAAACCGAAGTACTCGGAGAAAACCCGCCCCAGCGGCACTTTGGCCACCACAAACCCCACTTGACCAGACTCGGGATCGAAACCGGGCCGCCGCGGTGGGAAGCTAGCGACTAACCGCGCTAGCTATGACGCGGCCTAAGGTCGCGGGGTTCGGTTCCCAATGAGGTTATTACGATTTCAATACACCTAATCCTTCCAGCCGCACTATGGCCCTGGGGTCGACTCAACCTCTAACAAAAATGAGTACCAGGAATCTCCTTGGGGTAAAGGGCGGCCGGGGCGTAAAGCTGACTACCTCACCGCCATCTGTGAGCCGATTATCTAGAGAAAATATGGGAGCCTCGACGTCTCATAATCCTATGGACCATCACGGCCTGTTACAGGGATGGCTTATTTTTTCATCAAAATACCGTTGAATTTTTCAATTATTCCCCATGAGTTATATAAAACTTGAAAATGTTATCTTTATATACAAAATGATATAAACATGAACCTACCAGATTTTTCACAAAGTTTCCAATTATAACATTTCTTGAGCTTAGTCATTTCATCTCTTAGAAGTCAAAATATCGTCAACGTTCTGTTTTAAAACACCCTCAACGTCCGTTTGTCTCTCAGAGAAAGATGGTTAATTTGGACACGCACGTAAAGGAAAGAGATGAAATTACGATTATGTAATTTTAATCTTCGGGCTTCTACAGCGTGGTGCTATAAAGGAAACGGAACTCAGTTACATCAGCAATTCCAGGAATTTCATATTCTCTTAATGTTTGTCGTAATTAGAAGTTCTGATCTATTATTGGCATCGTTCTTAAGTAGGTCTACATGAATTTTCCCCACACTTTGAAGTGCTTTAGTAGGTGACGCGAGGCGCGGTAGTTCATTCAGTATAACGGCTGGTTACAAAGTGAACGAGGTTCGATTCCCAGCAGGAGCAGCGATTTATCTGTTCGTTGTCATACTATTACAGGCAATGAGGTCTATACTATGTAAGATTTGAGGCGTTCACGGCTGACTATGAAGAAAGCAGTCTTCTGGGATTTGGCATCGTGTATATGTGGTGTTAACCGACNGGTTAAATCAGCGGAAGCGTGAAGCTGAATACTCATCCATTAAGAACTGGTGCTTAAAGCATAATCACAGCTTTACCTTAACTTTGACCACAGATCATGTGTTTTTCAGATTTCATTTGTGAATAAGTTTTTAACGGTTTCTATCTCTTTATATATTTTCGCTAAATCTATTAAAATAATCGATCTAGACCAGCAGCCGATTTGTTCCATTCAGTTCCAAGTTTTCCTAATTTTTCTAGATATTTCAAATGGCACATTCTAAATTTAAGTTAAAGACCTGTGCCAACAGATATCCCATATGATACCATTAGCAGATAATTTATAAGACTCCGTCAGTGCCCTCGCCTATAAAAATCTGCCTACAGGCGTAGAAATCGCGGAACTGGGCATCTCTGTCGTGTTTTACTCGCACCTTACATATAAGCTGTCAAGTGTCACCTCCATCGGCGTTTCCGCGAACTCATTGCAACTAGTGCGTAGCGGACGTTACATTATTTTTTATGTACAGGGATAAGCCCACTTACTCGCCACATTTTTTTTTCATATTTTCGTGGACGTCTTGTAATGAGTCAGTTAACCAGCCCACACACGTATTATTAGGAGCAAGGGTAAACATTGGAGCAGGAATATCATGTTATAGGAAACGGGAGAATTCCGATAAATTCCGGCCTTAGCTTACTTTTTACACAAAAGAATATCGTACAATTCTAAACTCATCGCCTTTTCATATGATAAACAGAGGGCTTTCCTTTCCTGTTCAGATCCCTATTCTTCAATAATCCTGCTCAGGACAAGTAGGTGAAATCCAATTGCGCGAAGAACGGACAGAAGGGAAGGGAAGAGTTGGGATGACTGAGAATTTGACAAGCGGATAAATTGGTGGGGTGGAATTAGCTGATATGCATCGCTGAATAAGATTATTTTAGCTCGAATTATGTGCGAATTATTGCTAAAATTTGCATTCCTTCCCACGAGGAAAGGAGAGAAAATTCCTCATCGCGTACTGAAACCGAGCCAAATGAGTTTAGATATGACAAGCAATTTCTTAACCAATACATGATAGAGATCACAAAAAATAAAGAGATAAAGACAAATATTATTTTGAAATTCAGCGGAACCAGAAATTAGCAATGTTTAGAACAACAGCCATTTGAAAAAACAACTAAAACAATTTTAAGGAAACATTAAAGAAAAAGGATAATATATTAAGAAAATATAATATATATATATGTATATAGTTGCTTGCTACCATTCAGTCCAGAACCAAACATAAAATCAGAAAATACAAATCTATAATTTTGCTCGTGGTTCTATACGGATGTGAATTTTGGTCTCTGACATTAAGGGAGGAACANGGGAAGACCAAGGCATATTTGGGTGGACAATATTAAAATGGAACTTGGTTCGATAGGATGGGATGGTATGGATTGGATAGATCTGGCTAAGGATAGGGACCAGTGGAGGGCTCTTGTGAACATGGTAATGAACCTTCAGGTTTCACAAAATGCTGGGAAACTCTTGAGTAGCTGCAAATTTGGCTTCTCCTCAAGAAGGGCTCAGCTCCATGAGTAAGCAAGCATATAGTAATGAAACAGGATGCTTAAATACAGTATATAAAGAAACTCTATTTTTTCCGATAAAATTCATCTCTTGTATGCATATTAAAGTAATTATAAAGAAAGAATTGCTGCTGTATTTCTCGCCGAACATAAGCGTCAGTTAGGACATCCCATTGGGTGGGGGGGGGGATAACCAAAGAACTTTATTTTCTTACTGGTCACATATGCCGAGATGAATTGTGATTCTACCGTTTAATGTCTCTAAACAGGATAAGAGAAAGAGTGAATTAGAATGAAGAAAGCAGTGTTCTGGGATGTGGCACCGCGTAGATGTGGTGCTAACCGACGTTTCGGAGGAACGAATCGCCTCCATCTTCAGGGTAGAAGGAAAATAAAATTCACAAGCGAAGAGACCGTGAGAACTGGTACAAGCAGTGATTGTAGATGGAAGCGATACGTTCCTCCGAAACGTCGGTTAACACCACATCCACACGGTGCCACATGCCAGAAGACTGCTTTCTTCATAG